ACCATGCAGTTCTAAAATAATGTTTTCTAAGTCTTCAGGGGCAGACACTTTCCAAATTTTATATACCTGCGGGAAATAAAACACTATCAAATGCTTGCTTGTAGTCAGTACACCACCATAATATTTCTTTACATTTACATTTTGAACTTTATACTATCTGTGMAAATTTTTGAAATGTATGTGCATGTGATTTTATGGGATTCTAAATGTACAAATGACAACAAACGGGTAACATTTGTTCATAATATGTTCTTTTAAAACATTCCTTCGGTTTCCTATTAAAGGAACTATTGCGTACCTGTTATTTATTACCTTTTTAATTTTTTTATGAAACTTCTCAATGTCAATGTAACACGGACTATCGACCAAGTAGTCTGCCTTTCCACTTATTGACATTTGTATTTTCCTGATAAACAACTGATCCTTGTAGACATCTAAGATTTCRGGTTTTCCTTTAAACCCGAAAGCAGAGTCTGCTCTTSTAGAAAGAAATTTTACTGTTGCTTTTTCTTTGCTTTCTTTCAARAGCTTTCCCAAATAGAAGTTAGTGCTGTAATATACARCGACCCATTCATCAAGTGGTTTATCCTACAACATAGCATCATATATTGATTTATATAATTGAGCATCATGAACTTTGAATTGTAAATTCATTCATAGTTTTATTAACTATGATTCGTTTAACCTATCAAAGACATACCTGAGTTTTCAACTTTCTTGACCCAGTAATAATTTCATCTTTGAATTCCACTGGCATTTCACGTTTATTCTGTTGATAACAGAGCAAACAATTCAATTCTTTGYGCAGTAACATTTACTAGGCTAATCCACATAATCGGTTGATGTGCATAACTTGGAAGTGAGGCAGTAAAAATACGTGATTTTTATTCATTAGTAATTTAAACTATCGTTTTCGCTTGTTTCGATTCACAGCATACGTCGTAAATATATACACATGCTTTACCGTTAATTCAACTTTAGTTTCCTTAGATTTCTTTTCCCACGTTTGGCGTAGTTTGTCCAAGCCCAACGATAGCTTCGTCAAACCAGCAACACCCACGTCTGACTTTGGACAGGAAAAAATGAGTAACATACATGTTAATATTCTACGCGTGTGGTTTGTGAGAACATTTAAGCAACAATACGCTATATTTATTGCTGCATAGTTTTGCTTACTTCTTCTTCGTCTTCACTGCATGGCACAACGGCATCTGCTCTAAATGCCTCATTCTGGGGTTCACTGCTATAATTATTCTAATATGAAAAAGCATAACCAAATTTACTGTGGAATTGTCACGTTACTGAGAGAATGATGTCAAATGACATATAGATTATACTTACGTCTATTTTGGAAGTAGAAATATTTTGAGGGATTTCTATAATCTCTTCAAAAGATGCATTCTCAGGCTTCTCTAAATAACTCTGAAATAAAACAAAAAAAAGTGTAACAATTTGAAATGAGTCAAGTGACGTACGGGTTATTCTTACGTCTATTTCTGAAGCAGAAATCTTTTGAGGGCTTTCTACAATCTCTTCAAAGGATTCGGTCTCGACTTCATTTGAATTACTCTGAAATTAACAAAAGTGCCGCAATCAGAAATGAAAGAACGCCAAATAACATAGAGATTATTCTTACGTCTATTGCTGAAGTAGAAATCTTTTGAGGGCTTTCTGCAATCTCTGCGAAAGACTCATTCTCGAGCTCATTTAAATTATCCTGAAACAAAAAAAGGGTAACAATCAGAAATGAAAACGCCAAGTGAACACACGGGTTATTCTTACGTCTATTGCTGAAGCAGAAATATTTTGAGGGCTTTCTGCAATCTCTTGAAAATATCCATTTTCGGGCTCCTCTGAATGACTCTGAAATTAAAAAAAAGAAACTAAGTGTAGCAATCCGAAATGAGGGAATGGCAAATGACATAAAGATTATCTCACGTCTGTGGTCGAAGCAGAAATCGTTTGTGCGCTTTCTACAATCTCCAAAGATTCATTCTCTGGTTCATTTAAATTACTCTGAAATAAAAAAAAAAACAATGTGTAACAAAATGTTGTAAGACAATTCATTCGCACTGTAGACTGAATACTTGCCAAAACAATAAATCTCAAGCGTTTTACAGTAATAGTAAGTCCCACGCTACCTTTGTCATATCTGGCTTTCTTTTCCTGCCCACGAGAGATKGTGTAATTCGAGTTTTTTTCATCAAGGCATCTATGAAATAAGATCACTAGTAATAAGGAAGTAAATATAACATTTTGTTCATTCGTGCTAACATTATGCTTACTCAGTCACGTTGTTAATGATTCTTCAGTTAGAGCGAGTAATAAATACTACTATTCATTCGTTTTCTATTGTCTCTAACACTCTTTTAGTAGTGAAATTACTATTTCACGGATTTAGTGAGTTTACTCTAGAACTAATATTATACGTTGTCATTATTTTGCTAACAAAACACTCACTTTTGCCTGTATGAATACATTTTGATTGTGTAAGCACTGTAGCTTGCACGAATTTGTTTCTCCAGTACTCAGTTTGTTTTTGTGTTCTTTCTACCAAGGAGATGGCCTTAACAAAAAAGTTTTTGTCAGTTTTATCAATTTTTTTCGGCACCCTTTTTTCATAAGTTTTGTTTCTGCATACCTTTTCATATTCCTTATTTAAAGCGAATAGCTTTCGCTCTAGACCTTTGTTGGTGGAGAGCAATTCTTCGTTTTTTTTCAACGTCTAGAAAATAGAAAAATAGACTTTTCTGTCTTGTTTATTTCTTAAATAATTCAGAAATATAATTAATTACACCTACGTCTTCTAAATTGATTTTAAGATCTACGTTCCTGTTCTTGAGGTCACGTATCTCATCCAATAACTGAAATTGGTCAAAAACATATTTAATGTATTGTATATAATGAAATAGTTGTCTCTGGTAGCAGATAAAAAGATAACATAATAGGGGGAAGGAATTTCCGGCAATGCTAATATGTTCAAGTAGTCGACTTTACCTGTTCATGAGTTTCTTCGTGGTCTGTTTTCTTCGGCTCTACATTGACCTTAGAAAAGAAGTAATGGTAATAACAATGAATAAAATAGCACTTTTGAAACAAAACTTATAATAGCAGTAGTTTCTAAATACCTTGTTATTCCTTTTAAGACTTGCCAATGACGTAACTTCGCCATTGGCCATGCTTGATAATATATTGAATTGCTCTTCCTCTTGTACATTATAGATTATATCCTTCACGACGGACTGAGTGATTCTTTTTGCAGAACCAATCTTGAGACATTCTGATCTCATTTTATCGTCTATTTCTAACAATCTTTTAAAGCACCTTGATGACAACCTGGCCGTCTTCATGTAAAATTTCAGTTGCTTTTGAAAAAAATACAGTATGGATCATCGTCATTATTATTCCAAGTAACGAATATAAACACAAATGAACAGCACTTACATTTTCGTCAGAAAACCAAGGCTCCTTTTTCAATTTTCCTTTCCAAATTGCTAACTTAATAGAGTCTCTCGTAGGCTCACTCGTTTTATCTAGTTCGTCCTCGTACAGAAGCTCCCGCATACGAATTACAGTTGGAATGAATTCCGGTGGACGATACTTACTGGGAGGTTTGCGTTTCATTGGGCCATGGGCAGCTGAAGGTGGTTTTGGCAAAATGGGATAAAAGGCTGCTGTAGAAATCGATTGGAAGTCTGTCCCATCGACTGTCCGAACGTCATCTTCATTTTTGGGAGTGAAAAGGCATCGGCCACTTATTCCGTAAACTGTCTTAGACGATGATTGCTGGGGTGTTGACCATGCCATGATAGAACAAAAACGGAATGAAGTGTACACAACTTTGCAACTAAATAGATCTCTCTGTGCCCAAAGTCTCTATATATAAGTCCTTTGCATTGCGAAATACTGCTACAAATATTTTTCACTCCATATTCGGACAGGACATAGATTTGTGTCGTATTTGTGCTATAACGTCAGCCATATAAGAATGCTGAGTCAATTGTGCAATCATAGTATACTGCTACAAATATTTTTCACTCCATATTCGGACAGGAAATAGATTTGTGTCGTATTTGTGCTATAACGTCAGCCATATAAGAATGCTGAGTCAATTGTGCAATCATAGTTTGAATAGTTATGCATGGTGCAATAGATGACTGCCTAGCAAGGCGACAGCACATTCAGACCATGTGCATATGCATAAATATCGCAAGCTACCCCTTTTTGGAACAAAACATTTTTTCCGGTTGCACGACTTTGTGTCAAGCGGTATCACGAAAGCTAATCGTGATGGGGAATTGCATTACAGAACGTAGCCCTCTGAAGGATACTCATCACTGATGTTGCTTGACTTTATTCTGATTCTGACGGTTCTGATCACTAAACGTATAACCTAACAGAGAAGCTGTTCATATAAAAATGTCATTCGAGCAATAACAAGTCGTTTTGGGCTAAGGCATAATCTAATGACAATTTTTTGTTTTTGTTTTTCTATTCTTAGACTAGTAAATATCAATAAGAAATAAAGAACAGAGTACCAACTGCGTTAAGATTGAAAATGTGAAATCATCATTGCGTTGATAAGGTTTGATAACCGTCAGCGTTCACTCATTGTCAAAGTTTATATATAATTTCTTAACAGTGTTATCAGTTATGGAAGCTATAGTATATGCCTTTATGCGTCACGTCCGTGTCCTTAAATTTAACTCTGACGGTCTGTTTGATTGGCAGCCATTAGTGTTGCTTATGATCAAAGAAAGGTTTTGTTTGCTGTAAGGTGTGTGTTTGCGGTACATATTGCACTTAGTTTGTAATGCTTTTTGGAGAAGTTACAAAGCCTGAAATTATTTTAGAGAATAACTATTTGCATTGTCTGTTTACACTATTCCCTAGCCCTTTGGCATTGGTGTATGGTTTCTGACCCCGTGAGTGAGGCCTAGGAGAAGACCCTTACATTTCTTGCCCCAAAGTGAAACCCTTTCATAGATCTTTCATCAAAAGAGTACCTCTTTGATATTCACTAAATGTTATTAAAATCGTTATTACCACTTCTAATCAATAGAATTCCAAATTTCAAAATTTTTACTTTGCGCTTTGGCCGGACACTCTTAGGTAGTTAGTTCTCTTTATATAAAAATATATTACTGAATCTAGAACTGTTGTGCAAAATGATAAGTAAGTCCGTCATTTTTTATTCCGACGAATGATTGACGTACGCAACGTCGGTAAGTTATTTCATCTACTATTTTTACGGTGTTCAAATTTTTCGACGCAGCTCGCACTAGTTCACCGTTAGTTCTCGCCATTACCGTAAACAAACATCTATGCAACAGTTTTGTGTTGTTTTCTACTACTTTGTATTGTTACTGAGTTGTCGCCAGAAAAAATAATAACGGTATGACTACAGACTGAAATAATATGAAATAATATATGAATGCGTGTCGCGGTAAATATTCATTAGGCTGGGTAATCTTTACTGAATCATGAGCCCTACATCACCGCTATTTTGAATTTGTCGCGGTAAATATTCATTAGGTTGGGTAATCTTTACTGGAACATGAGCCCTGTCACCGCCATTTTGAATGTGTCGTGAATAATCATTTAGATTGGGTCATCTTTACTGAAACATGACCCCTACTTCACCGCTATTTTGAATGTGTTGCGGGAAATATTCATTAGGCTGGGTAATCTTTACTGAAACATGACCCCTACTTCACCGCAATTTGAATGTGTCGCGGGAAATATTCATTAGGCTGGGTAATCTTTACTGAAACATGAGCCCTGTCACCGCCATTTTGAATGTGTCGCGAATAATCATTTCATTTAGACTGGGTAATAATTGTTTAAATAATTTTAGTTTGTTCGACTTCTATTGCATTACATTAATTAAAGAAACTAAATGCTTTGCTTTTCACATTAAAAGGCGGAAAATGGAACAAACGTTACCCTTAGAAAGTGTACAAGCTTTCATGTGACAATCATGTCAATCATTGGAACACCGTATATGGTGTACATTCTGAGCTATTTAAATAAGCGGGAATTTCAAATGCTTCAGTAGTCTCTGGTGAAGCGAAGGATGAGTTCCGAGATATACACGCTGTAGTACAAAGTCATTCGGGTGTAGTGCATGTGATTTAATACCACTACAGTATTTTTGGTGATCATTGGGCGCTAACACAGGTCCTGGTTTCACCGCAAACTAACCTTATGGTAAGTGCAATTCTAATAAATATAAATGATTTGTGTGAGGTTTTTTGGTTAACAATTAGTTATATTTTAACTCATAATAATTAATCGAAAAAAAGACTGAATTTACTGATTATATTGCAGTCGTACTGTATCATGTATCGATCATTCAAAACCGCGAATCTAAGGTTATCAATGATTATATGTCAGTTTTTGTTAGCTCACTTTTTTCTGTTTGAAATGTTTGATGTTTTATTTGTCAGGTGTCTGTCCTCTATCCTTTATTGATATTACTGAAGAGCATAGAAGAATAAAAAACAAATAAATGTAAAAACATGGAGGAATCAGACTCGGATCCGGATCGATCAGTAAGTTTAAAATAGTTATCGTGCATGGTCAGTTGTATGTGATTTTAATATTTCTGTTATTAAAATATTTAGGTGCTGATAAACGAACCTTCCAGGTGGTGCGAGAAAAGTTCATCAGAGGATAATTCAGATGAACAAGCTGAATTAGGAGATGTGGTAGGTCAGGATGTACTGTACTTAGTGTTCACAGCTTGATTACAAGACTTGCAATTGTAAATGGTTGGTTTAAAACATTCTTAATTTTTATTCTTTAGGAAGATGCCCTACAGAGGTTCCGTTCATTCAAGAATGAACACAGTGCACTTGTTGCGAGAAAGAACCATAAATTTAACAATGTAAGCCAAATGGTTATGCTTTCTAAACTTTTTGCTACCATAACGACGTGACTTTTATACCCAATGAAACGATTCAATTTTCAAAGCACTATCTAAATTGTTATACTTACTGTAAAATGATCCAGATTTTATATTTGCCCGCTTTTAGGTCAAAGAGCAGAAACAACGACATGTTCGCAAGATTAGAGCGTTAGAAAACGCACAAATAAATAAGACCCTTTCCTTTAGCTGTTGCAAGGCTAACAAATGCATGAAAGCATTTGAAACTGAGGAAATAAAAAAGTGGAGGAAACCATTCTGGGAAAAATCCCAAGATAAGCAAAGGCAGTACCTTTTAAATGCTTTTGCGTTAAGCTTATACTACAGTCGGGAAACACATCAGAGGAGGTTCTCGTTCTCAGTAAATGGGAAAGCAGTTTGCCATAATGCTTGGTACAAAATACTGGGGATTTCTCATGGATGGTAAGAACTGACTAAAAAACTTATGAAGTAAAACGACGAATTAACAGTTTGTTACATGGAAAGACATAGCACATTTGTTTTGGGCATTATAGTGCTTGCGTGACGGAAATCGAACATCACCACAGCATTGACCAATTTTCAATGAGATTCTTGTTTTTGTACGCAGGTTTTATGGATTGCTTAGGCAGTACGAGGAAGGAAGAGCATCAGGGGAAAGCAATCGCTGTGGAGTAACGTGGATGACTTCCCGTATGCGTATAGCCATAGTATGGTTAAAGAGTAAGTCATTTGAGGAACATGCATATATGTTGCAGCCGTTTTCGTTAATTAATTTTATTTGCCTGTTTTAGAAATAAATGTTTCTGTATATTACCGTTAAGGTAGCGCTTCAACGATAAAAATGCTGATATATCAAAATTTACGTTATTTAGGGCACGTGGAGAGTTCCGGTGACAGAATGCCACACGAGGACAGGATCTGTCTACCCTCTTGCCAATCTAAAAATGAGATCTACAAGTTGTACCTGAGTGACTGTAAAAATGGCAAAATTGACTTTGTATGTAAGGCGTCATTTAAACAAATGTGGAGGCAGCATTTCTCAAAGGTTATCATCCCGAAGGTAATAAAGGCATTTACCGTATTGCAGTTTGTATTATTTATTAATATAAATAAGCTCAAAAATTAACCTAGATTCTTTTTTTCTTTTCAGCAAAACAAATTTACTAAATGTGGTGTGTGTACACTGTTAAAACATTCTCTAAGAAATACACAAGACGTCAAGGAAAGAGAGAAGTTATCAGATAAAAGAAAAGTACACCTCGAACAGCAATGGTAAGTAGTTTACATGGGAATGAGTCGTGAAAGTAAGTCCTGTCTGTTTCTCTTCATTCAATAATTGCTAAATATTTATAGCCTTTTAGCATGTACATTCAAGTGAAACGTCTACCTTGTCTTCTTTGTACGTAGTGCAGAAAGAAATCACTATTATGCCAACCGACTAAAAGCAGAGTTAGAGCCTGAGAAATATCTTTCACTGATAGTTGACGGTATGGACCAGGCAAAGACAAATCTTCCTCATGTGACTACCATATCAAAAGTAAGCGACATTTCATTTATTGAATTTTCAATATTCTTTCCTCCATGCACATAAGTCACACAATAGTCTCGAATTTCCCACTGTGCAAGTTTGATTCGCTGTATCAGGTGAAAAGTTGATTCCTAACCTTTTTATACACTAATAGACAGAACAATCCCACTACCTAAAATCTCATGTTACTGGTGCGATTTCCCATGGGCATAGAAGAGTGTTCAGCTTCGTAGACCTCCTACAGTGGAAGCACGATACTAATCTTACCCTCAATGTTCTACTTCAAATATTTTTGAGAATCGCAAAGGTAAAGTGTGCTTGCATGTGATAATGTAATTTGTTGTCTTTTTATACATTTTCAATTATCTTATTTATGATTTGTTGAGCGCAATTAAGTGAAAGTTTCAGTGTTTGACAATTATACATGTCTCTTAAACGATTTATACTCTACACGAAATATTTTAATACAACATACTTTTTTGCTTTATTGCATTTCTTACAGGAAAAGCGATTACCCCCTTATCTTTTGCTCCAGATGGACAACTGCTATAGGGAATGTAAGAACAAATATGTAATGGCATTTGCTTCTTACCTTGTGGAGATTGAACTATTTAAAGAGGTAACTATGTTATATTACTCTTAAAATCAGTATACAGAAATTAGAATATTACTGTTAGAATATGACTATAATGATTAAATAGCGTTTGGCCAAAGCTCAAATTAGTAACAGTTCCGAATTTTCACTAAATATAAATCCTTTTTACACAGGTATACGTTTCATATCTAATGGTCGGACACACCCATGAGGATGTCGATCAGGTAGACAATAGGGATTTGCAGTGAATTTGCTATTTGTATATGTAAAATAAGAATTATTTATGAACTTTATTGATTTTGACACAATTCAAATTTCTTGGATAGCTAAAATTGAAACTATAATTATAAATTGTAATTATTTCTAGCTTATTTCATTATTTACTAGATAGTGTATGAATAATACGTTGTTTTTCTTTAGTTTTTTAGCAGAATATCCCTGAAGCTGAGAAGTAATAACGTGTGGACACTACCTCAATTGCACAACACTATCCGATCATCATACAATCCTGTTCCAGAAAGTTGTGATGTCAAAGTGATGTTCGATATTTCTGGATGGCTTAAAAAACACATAGTCCGCCCCCTTAAAAACCACGTGTACCCTCATGCCTTTAAGTATTATCTGGATCAGAAAGATGGGAAGGCCAAAATGCTTTATAAGAACTGGGCAGACGATAACATGTGGGAGAATGCCGATGATCCCGACCAGATTCTTGTGAGTAGCCCCACAGGAATACCCGACCTTCTGAGACCAAGACTTGGTGGCTCAAAGCAGGAAGTGGACCTTGCAGATCTTAAGTCAAAAGTTGATTCAAGTTCTGCGAGAATGTCTGACGCAGACCTTCAATGGTGGGAAACATTTCTTTCGGACGAGGGACAGGAAGCCGAGAAATGGGATGAAATAACTGACGAAGAGAGAAATGAAATAGCTCTGAATAACTGGCCACTGGAAAAATTGGACAAGTTCAGCGAAAAGAAGAAAGAACAACCCAAAGAAATGGAAAGGCAACAAGGGGAATTGAAGAAACTGTTGGAGAAACAGTACAGGTTCCCAAGGGTATGGACATTAAATATTTACCCACACTATTCAGTAACTGTCATGAACTGACATTTTAGAAAGCAAGAAAGGACATGATATTTGTGCAAAAACATTTGTGTGTGAAATACTAAATATGCCTTGTTTTTAGATAATAGCAGGTAAAAAAAGAAAAACGACTAATAAGCCAGAAGCTGGATCAAGTACTAAGAAGAAAGTAAAATCTAAGAAAAGGGGAAGACCGCCAAAACAGAAGAAGTAATCATCAAATAGTGCGGTTTGCATCAAGAATTACGAATTAATTCGTATTACTAGCCGAGTTAAAATATTGTAAAAACTTTCTCATG